GTGTTGATTGTTCTACATAAGCGTATTATTAGCGTATTATTATGAGATTAAATGTTCTTTAATTTTTACATTCTTTCTACGTTAAAATATCGACTAGATGACTCTCATTCGAATCTTAAAGAATTAAAATGAAATTATATTTAATATATATATATATTAAATATAATTTATATATATATATATGTGTGTGTGTGTGTGTGTGTGTGTGTGTGTGTGTGTGTGTGTGTGTGTGTGTATGTGTATGTATGTGTGTGTGTTCAATTTTTTAAAAATTATTATTATTATTTAATTCTTAAAATGTTAAATAATTGTATAAATAATATAGCCATCTTTTTATATATAATCTTTTTAATACTAATACATATATATTATTTTATGTATGTACATTTTTTTGTATGATATAAATAAAAAATTTAATAATGTAAACATATTTGTGCCAAAGTTTTTATAAAAATAATAAAATACATACGTAGAAAATATGATGAGTAAATAATTATTAATTATTAAAATTTCAAAGATTTTATAGAAAATTTGTAATGTTAAGATGAATAAAATAAAATAATATATCGTACTTTGGTGAAAAAAAAAATACGTTATCTCAAGACTATACGCCAATGCATTTTGTTCACACATCCATATGCTCTCTCTCTCTCTCTCTCTTTCTCTCTCTCTCTCTCTCTCTCTCGCCCCTCTTTTTTCTTTCTCATCGTGCATTACGAAACGTTCGACATAGAAAGACATGTGAATACAAGCGATACATATGACACATCGAAGGGGTTCCATACATGTACATGTATGAAGAGGGTGTTACCTCATGGGGCGAGAATTAGTCCGAACAAGGGGAGCGAATGATGGTGGGGACGGAGGTGCCGCTATTAGATCTTTCTCATGCTGATAAAACTGTATAATGGACTTAATCGCTTTGTGCCCGGCCTGCGGCTAAATTTTCGTTATTTTTCTTGGGTCTCCGACCACAGTTCAGTTATCATCATGATAAATCTACTCCCATTTTGTGAGCCTGCTCTCTTTCTCTTTGTCTCGCATCCGCCACTATTTTCTCTCTCTTTCTCTCTTTCCCTCTTTTTTTCTCTCTCTATTTTCTGTCTTATTCGCGACCCTTTATTCTTCACCCGCAAATCCATTGATCCTGTGGGCAACACGCACTTCCGCCTGATACTGGTGCCGTAACTCGTCGACAAGTTCGTCGCATTCGCAAGCACAATTTTGTCAGCTTAACAATTTTATATTTCAGTCTATATTTAAAACTCTTTATTCGGATAAAATTAAATAATATGTAATATATTTTCCAACAGTAACTCTAATGATTATTATAAAAAAAGTGTTTAAAGTGAAAAATTGAGATGATTGTTTGATAAATATCAGTAAATCATTAGAAAAGAAAAAAAAACACAAAATTGTCAATCACATAATGTGTTATTTAAAAATATATAAATATCATTAAGTATTATTATTTCTAATAATTAACAAACTTTTTATTGTAAATTTGACGAAATCTATAACTTTTTGAAATTTGGTAAAATCTTGGAATCTCTGCAATTCTCGAAGTTTAAAGCGAGCATTTTGTGCACGTACGCAGTAATCTGCTGCTGACCTTTAATAGCTCAGTTCAACTGGAAGAAACGAAAAGAGGAAGGTATGTAGCTTCTTGACATGGCTGGCGATAATCGACTGAGCGAGCACGATGTTACTCTCTCTGGAAACCTTGATCTGTCCGAACACGCCGGTTGATTCCCTGAATTCTACGATTATTTCCCGGTGCACGATCGTACAATTTCCTATAGTTTCACGGATCATCCGGGTAACTCCTTCCGCCCCTAGCCCGTCGTTCCTCGCCCGGGCAAAATATATACGGAATGGCACGGTGTGCTCGAATAGCCAATCGAGGAATCCGAGGGTTTCCCTCCTGGATCGAACAACCGGCAATTTGCATGTTATACTACTCGATGGCGCCCGAGACCGCTTTTTAAGGCGGTTACGACCATTACTGTAATGCTCGAGATCGTGCGAGTCAATGCCAAGGAATCGGCATACGAATCTGCATTCGAGATCGATCGTAAAGTCCGATTTGCTTCTCGAATTACATTGTACAAAGCGGAGAGTAGATTGTACTGCGTTAAAGTTCAATAAAAATGAAAACTTATTGCGCCTACATCAAAAAGTACTGAATGAAAGCAAAAATCGTGTATTTTCTATTTTATTATGGATTAATGTTAGAATATATTAGGATGGATCAAGAAGGATGATGCTCCATTTGAAAAATAGTCATTAACTTCTATTTTAATATAATAAGTCCAATTTGTGCATAAGTAATAAATAAAAATCATATCGATAAATAAAACGAAGATTAACAAAACAAGAAATTATTTATATCTATAAAAGGTTTATTTCATCTAAAGAAAAGCGAAGAAAGTTTCTTTCATAGAAAATATCTATGTGAGCCATTATCTCTGTGCATGCAATTGCAATTTCTGAATGCAACTACATGTCGAAAATAGCTCAATTTCAGGATATATCCAGAGACAAAATGTGAGCTTTGATGTAACGCCTCGAACCTGGCAAGTATTTCCCAAGGGCTTGTCTTACTAGAAGTTAGCTCACGTAAGCAGCACCGACTCTCGATACTGGCTTTAGTTACCTGACATTGTTCGTCTCGCTCCTGTAGGTATTAGATTACTTTATAGGCGTATCACTGCACGCACCTATGCGGCACATATATCGGTATGCACGAGCAACGAACTAGATATGTGTAAACCAGTTACGTGCGCGCATTTCCCAAGCGCTCGTTTTGCTACTAGTTACAACGGGTAAACAGCCTCTTTCTCTCTCTCTCTCTTTCTCTCTCTCTGCATTAGTTTCAGTCATCCGAAATTGCCTGCGTCCTTTTACTCGCAAATATATAGGTACACTCAAAATGGCAAAAATACATGTATTTTTTTTTTAATTTAACAATAAGTACATTACGTGATATAGTTTATTATTATACATTACGTAAGATTATATTATTATACATTATAATTTGTTTTTGATTCTTATAGATTTTTCAATTTTTATTTTTATTTATTTCGATATTGCAGTAGCGCACATTTTATGCTAGCAATTAAAAATAAAACACGGATATAATAATATAAATTATTATTCATATTTGATCCCTGATGAAACGTATATTAAAAGTCGAGTAAAAATGTTTATAAATGTACACCAAAAAAATTGAATTCTTGAAATGTATACTTTATAAGTCCTCTTAATAAATATTCTTAATGAATAAGAATATATTCTTAATAAATAAGAATATATTCTTAATTTTCTTAATTAGACGGAAAATAACTTTTAGACTAATAATTAAATTTATTTGACTTCAGCAAAATTTATTAAATCCAAAGAAACCATTTTTCTCTGTATGTTAAGAATATTTAATAAGAATATCTCTTTAGAAGATTTTCCTCTTAATTTATGAAAATCCTCGATGCCTATTTTAGTAGAATATATTCTAAAGATAAGTTGCGTATTCTTAAGTTGAGAATACAATTTTTTCGGTGTATGTATGCATATTTATATTACATATCCATGCTAATATAAATTCCAATCCATCATAAAAATTTGCTCGCGGATTAGTTGACTTTATACTCATAAAAGATAAAGTGTAAAGGCGGCTTTATTTGGAAGACTAAAAAGAGGGTTGAAAGAGACGAGGCGCGTCAGAATACATGCAAAATTCCGGCAAACGTGTAAAGTACATGCACTTGTCTGAGAGCTCGTTTTGCCAGGAATTGTTCCGCTTAAATAGAACGAAGTTTCAGTTATTATAGTCGAGACGTTTGAGATTTCAAGGATGAGAAGGGGAACTTGTTCTTCTCCTTCCTCTCCAAGCTCGTGGAGAATTCTCGCTCTCCTGGCATCGTCTTAGCGTCTTAGCTGGCCGGCTTCGGTTCTCATTAGCATAGAAACAGCGGTAAACTCGGTGGACTAGCTTACCAAGCTAACAGCGTGTAAAATAACCGCTAAGTTGTCAAGACAATGCCCTGCACCATGCTGGTAAACACCCCAAGTCTAAACAGTGCCGCGGACTAAGTCCTCCGGCGAATTACTTCCTCCGGCACGCCATTGTCCGTCGAGAAGCGAAATGTCATCATGCTTCCGGTGCACCACTCTTTCTCTTCTTCTTCTTCTGAAAGGGGATAAATTAAGACTACACGACATGCTAAAACGCATCTTATCACACCTCGATAACACCTGAGACGACATTTCATGTCAAAATGACGTATTGCGATCATTCTATGTAAAACTGCATTTATTTTTCTTTAGGAATAAACCTACTTTGAAGCGGAGTTAGGACTCGACTTTTTTTACTTTTGATTTATTATTTTTTCACACATTTTTATTGAGACACACATTCTAGTCAAGCATAATTTTTATATGTGTGTTATGTGCATATCTTATTACATTATATATAAGACATTGTAATAACATTTGAAAAGTTCATTATAAAAACGAGGGTAAGAGTAAAGAAGACCCATGCTTTCTCAATGATTTAGACTTTGACATATGTTGTCCTGAGTGATCTTTAAAAAGATTTTACCATCTCTTATTTTTTGTTAAAAAGTTATTAATAAAAAAATTTCACGAATTATGCGCAATTTTTAAATATCACATGTACGTTTTACAAAGTGAATCTCACCATATTCATTTAAGTTTTTTCAAAACGAGAAACAAACGAGATGAACTATGATGACTGAATTAAAGTTATTTTTTTCATTATTATAAATATAATCTTAATATAGTATAGATAACATTTTATGTGATCATTGAAAATGCGCAAAAATTATATATAAATTCGAGCTTAGATTGTAATGCAAATATGATTTGCAAGATTATGTGCCGTTCATATTGGCATAATCATCGATAATCATTAGAGTTATATTGATACGCTGTCATTCACACAAAGTTAACTATAAAATCCACTGACAAAGTATTGTGTTTAGGTATGAGATATGGTGTTTTCTTCCTCGGGACGCTCTTTGTATCACGTCTACGCACGCACATTAGTCGAGTCTTGATCGTCAAGCGACCCTGGGACACGAGCGTAACACGCGATCTTCTTGTTAAGAGCGTTATACGCCGTCAAAACCGACATAATGTCAGCGTCGCCGGCATATGAGATGGGTGTGCTGAAAATATCGGAGGACAAAAAAAAGGCCGCGGACTGTGATTTATCGTCGAGTGCCGTTAATCGACGGCACGGGACCATAGAGCTCGAAATTTTGATGAGCGAGCATTTTATTCAACTCGAAGAACTCGCAATCTCGACCGAACAAAGCAGTATCGCATGGATAAGTATTTTTTGTAAATATAATTTAAACATGTAGGGGAGAGGTGCTATGAAAAGGATTTTGTTTAAGATTAAATAAAATAAAGAATTTAGAAAACATAATATATCTTAGTAATTGAGAATCTTAGAAAAATCTGTTATCTTGAAATAATAATAGGCGATCAAAATTATGGCAATATTACTTTCTTAATTATAAAATATAGAAGTATTATAGTCTGTATTTGATATACATTGTTTATATTAAATTTAGCATTAAACATTAATAAAAAAATAAAATATAAGAAAATAAACGAAAGAATTTCTGAAATTATTAACAAAACAAAAGATTATTTATAAAATAATTAAATAAATACTATAATACTTTTTAGAAAATAATTTAATACTTATGTTTGTGGTGAATCAAACACGCACAATTATTATTAATGGTACGAAAATTCTGATTATTGTAAGATCCTCAAATACAAATACAAAATAATTTTATTTATTTAATTATTAAAAACTATGATTAATATTACATCGCTATTTTTAAAGTTCTTAATTATTATATTCGACTTCTATATCTTTAATAATTTAAACGAGACGGAAAAGCAATTACATTTCACAATTATTGCCAATTGTAAAATATATTTTTACTTTATACGGATTTCCATCGCAAATGATTATCATCGGTCGGAATCTACGCGTCACTTCTGATGTCCTTATTGTTGCGATTTTTCCGGTGCGCTGCTTTTAATCGTATGATTGTTCGTTGGCCGGTGTTAATGTGAATGAATTACGGAAGTATTATGGTAACTAATGTTAATGCGTGCCCGTTACACACACATCCGTGCGTCTTGACGAGTTTTCATACACAACTAGGTCGCAACGAGGCTGTCAAAAGTCCCGCATCCGTAAATTGCCGACATAACGGCATTATATAAATATCCGAAATCGGGCGATCGCGCGATTGTTTCACGACTTCGTGCTCCCGTTGCGGCACTCGCGCGATTCAGGATAATGCCAAATGAGCGGAAGCGCGGAATAAAAGATGAGCGAATTAAATTGTATCGCACCAACAAAAAAGACCAGGAGCGCTTCTCGCGTGTTCTTTGTTACCTTTTCGCGTAGTATTTATGCCGCTGTATCAATTCCACCGATTTTATCGTAGATATATATAGTTCTTCTTAAAACTCACGTTGCGCATCATTCATATTACGCCTTTGCACTACTTCATTAATTACAACTGAATGTAAACTTCTTTGTCTTTTATTATCAAAATTCTATTCATATTGTTCGGAAATATTTTAATCTTAATTATAATAAATTTTATTGATTGTAATAAATATATATTGTTTATTTAATTATTGCAATATAAATTTAACAATTTAATCAATTGTTAAATTTTCTATTAATATTTGGATATATAATTAATTACAAAAACTTAACAATGAGAAATGAAATTTCGAATATGTTATAAACTTGTAAATTTTTAGACAATCTATAATTCGGGACGAAATCCAAAATAAAAAATTTTATTTATAATTTTATATGCTATATGTTTTATTGAAAACTATGAAGTGAAATAAGAATGATAATTTTTCTGTGACTAGAGTAAACCTTTTACAAGTACGATCACGTGAAAATTCTTAACATAATATATTATATATAGTGTTTCTTGTTTTTTGTTCTTGTTCTTTCAATTTGTTATCTGTGAGCGATCTTATAGGTATATGCGAGGTATATGCTATCGGATTATCCTTGTTTATTTCCCTTGTATCAGGGGGGGGGGGGCAACAGGACCTGGAACCCAGGGGCCTCCACAAGAGGAGGGCTTCCACGACACAAATTTTTGGGTAAAATTTCCTATCGAATAGTATACAACACTTACAAGGTCTATGTATATTGCTTGACCTTGTTATTTCGCAATAAATTATTTAAACAATGTAAAAATTAAACATTTACATTACATATAATTCGCATTATATATGCAATGTAAATATTTTAAAAAATCAAGAATGATGTCGAACATTAATCTTGATTGTACAGCTTTGTAAAAATGATATATAATTTTTTGATCTTACATTATAACTTTTAATTTTAATATTCTATAAGAAAAGCCTTATAGTATATTAAAATTAAGTATAATAAATTATAATATAATAAAGTTATAATAAATAGATAATCCTATATAAAATATTATATCTAGCAATCCTAACAATCCTAATCAATTTTGGTGATCCTAATAACCCTAATGATCTTAATAATCCTAACGATCATAACAATCTTAATGATCCTACCTAACAATCTTCCTAACAACTTTAACAATCCTAATAGTTTAAATGATTTTAACAGCCCTAATTGCTTTGCAAATTAAACCAGCGGAAATAAGCGATTTTTTGAGATTTGGGGAATATGCCCTAATTAGAATTTTATTACACGAACGCAGTCTTTATTTTTCGCGAGTTTCTGAGTTTATTTTTATATGTTATTATTTATTTTATGCGTACCTGTTTATTTTATCTGTTTAATTTACGCGTTTATTATGTGCCATTGCACGTTTTTGGATGAACTTACTTTTCGAATATCCAGGCATTTGGCTACTTTTAGCTAAGGATAAAGTAGCTTTGACCTGTATTATAGGTCAATGAAGGAGAAAAACTTCTTCCGTTGCCGGCTACTTATTTTCACCGGTACATGAGTATAATTTTACGCTCATTTACAGTCGTAATATTATGACTGTTTGTTATTGTCTTAATATAACTTTGCTTTAATTAATATAATGCAATATATTGTCAAATTAATCAAAATTAAATGATTGTAATTTTTACAATATATAATATTATTTATAATAAAAAATTTATAATAAAGATTTACGATAAAATAAATTCACATTATTTATACATTTTCTACTATATTTTCACTCTATAGTATCATTCATTGGTCTTTTTAAACATTACATATGGTTCAATAGATTGATAACTTACTTAGATTTATTTTCAATTAAAGCAAAGTTTTTTAATATGTTACACTACATAAAAATGATGGACTATAAAAAATTAAAATAATGTCAGTATGCATTATAAAAGTAAGTTATTATATAGTATTAAAAAATAAAATTACTAGTATGTTTTTTATGTTTTGTATTTATGTAATTATTTATTTTAAATAAAATAAATAATTGATTATAATGTAAAATTAATAAAAAAAATGAAATTTTCCTTTAATTAATATTTCAATTTTGCATTTTTAATAAAATGTATATTGAAAAGAAACTTTAAAAAATTATATGATTTAATTTGTTCTAGCCCATCCATTTTAAGGTAACGGACCTACAATCTACAATCTACATGTACAAGCTCTACACAAATCCGTTACCTTAAAATTAAATAAAAGTTTTTCACTCACCGACACTGATGCGCAACAGCGGAGTTGTCAATATTGAAGCTACGTTGTCTGTAACATACAAATATAAAATCCATATAATTAGCAGCTCTTAAAATAATTAATCTTTCATTATATTTAATTATTATTGTACGCACCGAATTTTATATCCGATATGTGCAATAATAAACAAATAAACAAATATGCAATAATTTTTTAAATTCTGATAAACCTATTTTTTTTAAATAGAAAGATTTATAGGATTATTTACATACAACCTTTTTTCTTTGAATCTTTGTTGTTTCATCATTCAAATAAATGACTCAAATTAGTACGTGTACGCGATATAATAATTAATATAAATAAATAATATAAATAGTACTCACCATCAGGTTGTTCCGCTGATGCAGGATGCCTTTTCTAGGCCTGCGCCTCCTCTCAGTCTTGGACGCGCGATACTTTACGGCACTCCCGCACTCACGAGCGATATTTTTATCGCTGTTTTTTCGCACTTTTATGCGCGATACTAAACGGCACTCCCGCACTATTTCGATGCGATTAAAAATTTTATATTTGATCGCGCGATGTATATACTTAATATGTATATACTTTTAACGGAACTCCCGGTTTCGGTACGAGCGAAAATCCCATTTCATTTAAGCGAATCCACTTCGAGTCAATAGGTCAAGAATGCAACGATACAACGAGCATGGATTAAGTCCAAATCGAAAAGAAAACGAAATTCAATTTGGACCGAATCACTTGACGGAGCACGAAGCACGAGTGTACGTTGCGTAGCGCAACGTGTGCAAACTCGAAATCCTAGTTAATTGGCATCGGAAGTAGAGACTTGTGACAATAATGAAATTTTGGGATTTTTATACGAAAAGTCCAATGCGGAAGCGCGAAAACGCGATGACGCGAGAAAGCTAAACGCGAAAACGCGGTAACGAGACGCCGCCGTCCGCGACACGTTGACGGCACCGACGACGGAAAGTCGACGCAATGCGTGCCACATATGAGCCATTGCGCGACTCGTGGCAATGCTGTGCTAGGTACTTAGCTTCCCCTTCAGGCTCCTTGAGATTTATCATAAATAAAAAAATTTAAAATAAACCTCAAGGCACCATCCAAGTACTGAGCCACCCCACCGCGTCAAGGTGTACCCGTGGGGGGTTGCATTATATAAATTTATAATATAATATAATTTATATATATGAAAGAGAAAGAGAGAAATTTATATTATATATAATTTCATATAATTTGTGTGGGATTGATTATATCATTCAATAATGTAATCTGACTCATTATAGCGCTTCCGATTTTTACGTCATGTACGAAATAAGTATCTAAGCATTTAGTTAAAATATTTTTTTTCTCATTGTAATGTTATATGAATATTATTAAATAAAAGATTAGGTACACGACGATCATTTTCTTTAATAAAGGAAAATTGGAATCTAATTCACAGAGATGTTAGAATAATAAATAATAATGAGAAAATTATATAATAATTATATTGTATAATATATTGTATATAATATATATAATATATAATATAATATAATATATAATATATATAATATATATAATATAATATATAATATATATAATATATATAATATAATATATATATATATAATATAATATTATATTGTATATAATATTATATTATATATATTATATATAA